GAAACAAGTTGAAACAAGGGCGCCAAGACTGCTGGCCGACAACAGAGAGAAGCTCGGACCAGATATGAGTCGAATTGGTGAATACGACAAAAGAAAATCACAACAAGAGGTCAAGAGAGACGACAAAGGAGTACGCCTTACGATAAGATTCGAGAAGCATTAGAAGAACTCGTGGCAACTTCACATCACGGAGAGAAGTACGAACAGCCTCCAGACTTGCTCCGGCCAATGATCCCAAGAACGCATGAAGAGAGAACCCGATCAAGACTACCCGCCAGATCAACAACCCGCAGCAAGAAGATCAAAATCAAAGGAAGTCCGCTTTTGAAAGACTTGGACCAAAGCGGAAGCCATAGCGGAGAAAGTAGGAGGAACATAGTCGGGCCATCAATTTGAACAACCAAGGAAGACCAGAGTAGAGGGCCAACCTGCATGTACCTCATGAGAATTATTCCCATCAAAACAACACTTGGCCGTAAGAAGGAGCCGAATCCGAATTCAAGGAAGCCGAACGCATGATGATTCCCCTGCTTTTGCAAACAAAGTTGGCATCGATCGATTACCTCACAAATTCAAACCGCCTAATCACTCCAAGTATGATGGCAAAACCGAACCAAGACAATGGCTCGTAATATATTCACAATCAATTGAACTAGCCGGAGGAGACGATGATATCAAAACCTTGTTCTTTCCCATGGCAATCGGAAGCGATGCCCTCCAATAGTTCGATAAATTGAACCCGTGGATCGATCGTAACTTGGGAAGACTTGCAAAGAGCTTTCAGGAAAATTTCGCAGTATCATCACACACCCGATCACTCATGCCGAACCGAAGGACTCAAACAAAAGGGGGCGAAAGTCTCGTAAATTACTATCGGCGATTCGGTGAACTACGGGCTCAAGTGCATGACATCACCGAACGAGAAGTAATTGAAGCTTTCTCTCACGGAATCATGGCTAGGTGGCAATTTCAAGACTTCGCAAAGAAAATCCGAGAAACAATGAAGAATTCGACGAACAAAGAGAAAAAATGATTACTGCAGAAGAAAAAACGCGAGAAAGGTTCCCTGATAGAAGCAACCAAGACAACCCGGATAGGCAAAATCATCAAAATAGCAAACATCAAGAAAGAAAGCGTGAGACCGACAATACCGTGGCAATGGCCGACAAATCAAAGAAGTTTTCCAAACCCAGAAGATATGATGACATTGAAAGCATACGTTGCCGCTACACCCTAACGGAGACACACCATCGGAAATCTGCTACACTTTCAATGATCGATACACGAGAAAAGACAAGAAGGAGAACACCAAAGAGGATAATCACAAGAAAGATGAAGACAACCACGAGGACAAGGGATTTCAAAACCTGTGGAACGGTAGCAGTGATCTTCTCAGGGGCCCCAGATTGCACAAGCAAACGTCAAGAAAAACTAGCACTACGGACTATCATGACGGCAGAACCGGCTACACCAAGATATCTCAATTGGTCACAATATCCAATCTAATTTTCAAGAGAAGACCAATGGACTAGCGTAGGGAACGCAGGCTATTACCCACTAGTCTTAGACCCAACTATTGCCGGTATGATCGTCACCAAAGTACTAATTGATGGGGAGCCGGACTCAACATCATCTTTTCGTAAACACTAAGGAAGATGGGACTACAACTCATTGGGATGATTACACCAACAAGCACCCCTTTTACGGAATAGTACCCAAAGAAAGCGACCATGCCACTCGGACAAGTTACTTTTACCCGTCACTTTTGGAACTCCCACGAACTATCGAATGTAGTTTATCAAATTTGAGGTCACATACTTGATTCATCATATCATGCGATCCTCGGACGCCCAAAGACTCGCAAAATTCATGGCAATACCACATTATCCATACTTATTGCTTAAGATGCCAGGACCCAACGGTATCCTTTCTTCTTGAAGCGATTTGAAGCGTGCTTTTTGATCGCGACGTTCAGTAATCCAAATTGTGGCAAAAGCACAGCCGACAATGGGAGAAAACAAGTAGCCACAATTGTCATGCGGAGATAAGCCAAGAAGAATTAGAAATACCAAATAAAAAGCCCAAAGATCATCACACCACCAAAAGAAGCCGACGTCAAGCAAATCGATTTGGGCAATCGGCGATACCTCCAAGACAAAGAACCATCGGTGCTCACCTCTCGGCAAAGAACTCACGCTCACCAACTTTCTTCGGGACAACAAAGATATCTTCGCCGAAGCCGGCCGACATGCCGTGTGTCCCAAGAGAGTTGGTGAGCACCAAATTGATGTTAATGAAAACTCCAAGCACAGAAAAGCAACGGCTACGACGATTCTCACCCGACAAAAAAGGCGCGATTAAAAAGAAATCACAAAACTGATGGCAGCCGGATTCATCGAGAAATCCTTCATCCGGACCGGCTAGCAAACCCGGTCCTTGAGCAAAAGAAGAACACAGACGAGTGGGCGATAAAGGCCGACTACACGGATCTCAACAAACATTGCTCAAAAGATCCATTCGGCTACCACGCATTGACCAGATAGTTGACTCAACAAATAGGGTCTCAGACTATTGTCCTTTCTCGATTGCTATTCGTGGTATCACCAGATTGCATTAAAAGAACAAGACCAGAGCAAGACTTCTTTTATTACTCCGCTCGGTGCTTTCATCATTACAAGACCATGTCGTTTGGACTAAAGAACGCCGGTGCCACATACCAAAGAGCTATACAAACATGCCTTGGAGATCAAATCGGTGAAAATGTGGAGGCATACGTGGATGATGTAGTGGTGAAAACAAAGAACCCGTACACCATGATTGAAGATTTAAAGCAAACATTTGAAAACTTGAAGAGATGGAGATGGAAATTGAACCCAAATAAATGTGTATTCGGAGTTCCTTCAGGCAACTACTCGGATTTTTGGTCACCAACAAGGATTGAAGCCAACACCAAGCAAATTCGAGCTATAAACAGAAATGGGGCAACCTAGGAGTATCAAAGATGTTCGAAACTAACAGGATGCATGGCGCCCTCAATCGTTTCATATCAAGACTCGGAGAAAAGGGGTTACCCTTCTTTAAACCGCTAAAGAAGGCAGATAAGTTTGAATGGACAAAAGAGGTCGACAAAGCTTTCAAGAAACTTAAGGCATATCTCACATCCTCACCAATTCTCACACCCCAAGGAAAGATGAAGACATGATGCTATACATTGCGGTGACTACTATCAGAGTCGACATGACAATAGTCGAGAAAGAGAAGAAGAAGGACGTGTGTATAAAGTACAACGACCCGTGTACTACATCAACAAGTATTGTCTCAATCCAAAATCCGCACCGCATGTACAAAAAAAACTACTCTACGCCCTACTTATCACCTCACACATAAGCTTCGCCACTATTTCGAAGCCACAAAATTACCGTGGTGACAGACTTCCCGCTTCGGAGACATTTTACACAACAGAGATGCGACAGACGCGCATATCAAAGTGGGCGATTGAACTTGGAGCTCTTAACATCGACTTCACCCCACGGAAAGCAATCAAATCTCAAGCCCTTGCCGATTTTGTGGCGAGTGGACAGAGATTCAACAAATTTTATCGATACAATCCTTGACCAATCGGAAGATGTACTTTGATGGGTCGCTCAAACTAGGCGGAGCCGGTGCAAAAGCGTTCTCCTCATTTCTCCGTAAGAAAAACAACTCAAGTACGTCCTTCAGATATTATG